GGGGGGAGCGGGTGGGGGACGGGGGAGTGCAGAAATTAAATTTCTTTTTTGTAAAAAAAATATATGTTTATTTTAGATTTTCTGATTTCTGAATTGATAAAAATGATTGATTATTAACCGCTGAAAAAATGCATGTTTCCTATAATCTATCAAAATTTGAAAACATTGTTTTTAACAAAATTTAAATATTTTCATCCGAACTATAGAGGAACTAATAAAGTTTTCGGAATTTCCGTGCAATTTTTCGGAATTCCAATCGGCTAGACCGAATTGGCTGCATTTTTTAAGATAACTGAAAGGTACCCTAGGGCCCAGGGGTGACAAAGGCTTAAATATCGACATTTTTTTATTATTCGAATTTTTTATTCCAAAAGTGTTTTTTTTCACGGGCAACGCCGGGCACTTTAGCTAGTTACCCTATACTCCAAATAGATTGTTAAGTAACAATAGATGGCAACGTACCCCAGGGGTGACAAAGGTAAAATATCGACATTTTTTTTTATTATTCGAATTTTTTATTCCAAAAGTGTTTTTTTCCACGGGCAACGCCGGGCACTTTAGCTAGTTACCCTATAATCCAAATAGATTTTTAAGTAAAAATAGATGGCAACGTAGTATTTGTACACTCTCAGTACAGCTGTATTCTTAAATCACAAGTGTCAACTTAGTATTGTGTCCTACAAAATTATTAATAATATTGATAATTTTAGAATAAAGAGCTTATCTTACAGTGAAAAAGTTGCAATTTAATGTCTTATTCATTTTCTGTTTCCACACTTTTTATTTAATCTTGAAAGACATGTCAAATAATGTGAGAAACTTTCGTTTTCCTTGTTATATTTGACACTTTGTGACGTCGTGTATAATTGATCCATTTCTGTGTTGCCACCTATTGTACTTGATAATCTAGTTATACTGACAAGAAGGATAAGTTTTATCTGAAGGAAACCTTGTAGGAAGATATTTTTCATTACAATATCCTAGATGCCACTTTCCTACAGCATGCGTCACATATCCAGCTTCCTAGAATATACAGTATTATATCCTAGATGCCACTTTCCTATACCATGCGTCACATATCCTGCTTCCTAGAATATACAGTATTTGTCGTATATAGCAATTTTTAGAAATTAATTGTGAAACAGTAATGTAAGAGTAATTTACAAGTGTAATGTGTATGTAACTAGAATCTAGGTATGTATATACTACTGTACATATGTACAACGCACGTACAGCTCTATAGTTAGTAAAGTTAATGTAGAAAATATACTTCGATGTTTTTTACATCATCAGTCCTTAAGAATGGAAAGCCAGTTTTAAGCCAAGCAAATTATGTGTTTGTTTTTTATTTATAATTAAACCCTAAAGCAGTTGGAATCTTGTCAACCCTCTTCTTAGAATAAATGAAGCGTGGACGGATGAATGTGCTGCCAGATTACAACCCCTGGCAGATCAGTACAAACCCCTACAACACCAAACTTTCGCAATAGAAAAATTCCCAGATTCGATCGTAACAACCTGATCAAGTCCTGTGGACAAAAACATGTCATTAAATTGTTATGTACCTTTAGTCTTTGTGGTAGGAGGGTAAAATTTGCTGAAAGTCCTAAAATAAAAGTTTTTAAAAATTACCATCACATGAGAAATGTTTTAGATAAAAAACCTGTTGGTTGGTATCTTTCAATGGCTCCTCGCTGCACTCCCATCTTCCAAGCATATCTAGAGAATATAATATATTTTTTTCGGACCCGGCACGACCTAAATATCCGGTAGGAAATACTTGTGCACCAACGAGGGTGTAAAGGGACTGTAAGCGTAATTTCAAGTGAACCTGAAAATGCCCGATTTTAAACGGTACCCTTGAAGCCTCATCTGATCAACATTGTGGAAGATAACATCATTTTTCCATCTCGAAAAATATTTATTTTTGTGAATTTCAACATTGTTTCTTATATGCAAGAAATGCGCAAGTCACCTTTGCAGAGAAATCACAAATATAATTAAACAGTTTAAATAAACAAAATCATGCAAATTCTAATTCATACTTGATCAGACAAAGCTTTAAAGGGTACCATTGTAATTCGAACCTTTCCATTTTTGCATGGAGGGTCGCTTGAAATTACGCTTACAGTCCCTTTAACGTCCTACATCGGGGAAAGTTTTCCATCCCTAGACTTTAGAGTATCCACACAATGTCCTTACTTGAACCGTTTAGCGGAGAACTAACCGTCTGAGCCCTGAATATATAGTTTGGAGATTCAAAAGTTTTTATCTAAAAAGATTTAAATAGAAGCGAGGGCTACGGTGTTAGGTATTTTCCAAATGCATTTTCCCAAGGGTGACTTCCCAAATGCCAATTTCCCAAGCGGCAACTTCCCAAGGGTGAGGTTAGACCCTCTTAGGCGCCGCTGGATGTAATCTAGGACCGAGCGCTGTGGCTATGATGGGTTTTGGGGCCTAGCGCTGTGGCTAGAACAGGGAAGGGGCCGAGCACTATTGCTAGAACAGAAGACTTTGGAAGTTGCCGCTTGGTAAATTGCACAGTTGGTAAGTTACCACTTGGGAAAATACTCTTGGGAAGTTGGAAGTACCTAACGTACATCAGGGCTATTATTAACAGAAAGTTTAAATCTTGTTTTCTGCAAACCCCTAGATTGTTCATCCCTTTCCCTATATACCTGCCCGTTAGCAGAGAAGCTCGCGAAGGAGAACATTTTGGAGTTACATAATGTCGGTCAAGAATAACACCTTGTCTAAAATAAAAAATGATCAGTAATATCCTTACCTACCTGTAATTAAAGAAGTTGTAAGTTATTAGTAATTATTTTTTTTGGTTATGATTGTTGTTTTGTTATGATTGTTGTTTTGTTATAATTGATGATTCGTTATAATTGTTGCTTTGTTATAATTGTTGGTTTTTTAAAAATTACCTGACATGAAAAGCACCTGACATGAAAAGTACCTGACATGAAAAGAGACTGACATGAAAAGAGACTGACATGAAAAGTTCCTGACATAAAAAGTACCTGACATGAAAAGTACCTGACATGAAAAGTACCTGACATAAAAAGAGACTGACATGAAAAGTTCCTGACATGATAAGTATCTGACATAAAAGTACCTGACATGAAAAGTACCTGACATGAAAAATACCTAGATGAAAAGTACCTAGATGAAAAGTACCTGACATGATGAGAGACTGACATGAAAAGTACCAGACATAAAAAATACCTGACATGAAATGTACCTGACATGAAAAGTATCGGACATAAAAAGTACCTGACATGAAAAGTACCACATATGAATAGAGACTTACATAAAAAGTACCGGACATGAATGAAGTACCTGATATGAAAAGTACCTGACTTAAAAAGTACCTGACATGAAAAGTACCTGACATGAAAAATACCAGACATGACATGAAAAGTACCAGACATGAAAAATTCCTGACATGAAATGTACCAGACATGTAAAGTAATAGACTTGAAAAGTACCTGAAATGAAAAGTACCTTACATGAGAAGTACCAGACATTAAAAATACCTGACATGAAATGTACCAGACATGAAAAGTACCTGACATGATAAGGACCTGGCATGAAAAGTACCTGACATGAAGAATATCTGACATGAAAAATACGTGGTATGAAATAGCCCCTGAGAAAAAAAGTACCTGGAAGAATACAAGAAACATTGGAAAACTCTAGACTAGTCCAGTCTTGACTGGTGTTTGGTTTGATTTCTTTTATTTGAATTCAATCGCGTTTTGTTTTAAAATTCAACCATAGATTAATTAAAATAACAGATTTGACACTAAATGTCGTCTTTTCAAGATTTTTAAGTAGTTCGTTCACAATAACGCAGAGACAGAAGTCCAAAGGAGTTACCCGTAGTCGGCGTAGAACCTAGGTTATCTCTCTGTTTTTGTCCTATCTGTTATTTTAATAAATCTATGAATTGAACAATTTAAACTTACGGAGTTAACTTGTTTAAAACCATAGAGAATAGAATATATATTAGAGAGGAAGATACTAGAAAAAAGTGTAAAACGGCCATTTTGTTGTACTGTTTCCATACTGCAGGTGTACTTCACATATTTATGCTATATATATAACCTTTTGGGCCCTTGAATATCATTTTATAGAAAATCTAAAATTATTGTTAAAAGAAAACCAAATTATGAAATAGGCTGGTTTCATAATTGACCAATGATCATTTCACATAGATTCTATGCCTTTTACTTTACAAACGATGATTTTCCCTTATAACTATAAATCAAATGATGTTTTTTATTCACCTAATTCATTATAAAGTTTATTTAACAGTTTAAAAAATTCGAAATTGAAATGAATAGTCTAGGGAACATACTGTATTTGTGTACTCTACTGCATATAATTTGTGAACATTTACATGATTTGTACACTTTGAACTCCCTTTCAGGCTGAAAGGGACTGAAAAAAAATTCATACCGAGAGATTCTTTAAATTCCACTCTAATATATTCTATTCTCTATGTTTAAAACGCATCTGCAGAAAAAAAAGATAAAAACGAGAAAAGGCGAAAAATTATATTTTAAGATTCAAATTGTGACAAAAGTCCCAGCTTATTGGGATGATGATCAATTAAATAAGCGTGGGGATAAGAATTAACAATATATTTCTATAGAATCTACAAATTGAATTAATGTCGTCTTTTTTCTTCCTTTAAAGAGACTGTAAGCGCAGTTTCAAGTGACTCTCCGTTCACCGATGACAACGATATCTTTCCAAGCGTTGTATAATGAAGGATAAATTAGATATTCATGTTTACGATTTGGAAAACGGATTATTTTCAATTGTGGTTTCTTTACAAACCTTACGCATTCTACTGCAGGAAAGCATATAAAAATTATGAAAATTAAACCTAGAAAAACAACAACGTCTTCCACATTATTGATTAGATAACGGTATTAAGGGTACTGTTGTGAATCAGGCATTGTCCTCTATGTATGGAGGGTCAATGTAAAATACGCTGACACTGATAGATTTTTTAATTTACAATTGTTGCAACGGATTTATCTCGAAAATTGTTTATAAATAGTTCAGTTGCAAGTTAAAATATTCTTGGCGACGTCTTATGATTTTAACATAATACAAGACAACATAAAGTACTTTTCAGGAATTTGATAAAATAGATTTATAGAAGTTTTTTAAAAGATAAATCCGAACATTCATAAAAAGATAATTTTAGCTGAATTTCAGTATTCATTTCGATATCTTAGGGTAGACGGTCTTATGAGAAACCATTTATTTTGAAAATCAGATTGCAGTTTACAAAAATACTGAAGTTTATTAAAAAATATTACAGTTTATTCAAACAGATTGCAGTTACTTAAAAGATATTGCAGTTTACAAAATAACTGAAGTTTACTAAAATGGATTACAGTTTATTTAAACAGATTGCAGCAAAATAAAATTGCAATCTTAAGAAGATTACAATTTATTAAAACAGATTGCAGTTCCTAAACAAATTGCAGTTTACTGATGAAGATATTATAAAAGGTTGTAGTTTACTTAAACATATTGTAGTTTACTTAAACATATTGTAGTTTACTTAAAAATATAGTAGTTTACTTAAAAATATTGTAGTTTACTTAAATATACTGTAGTTCACTTAAAAATATTGTAGGTTACTTAAACATATTGTAGTTTACTTAAACATATTGTATTTTACTTTAAAATATTGTAGTTTACATAAAAATATCGTAGTTTACTTAAACATATTGTATTTTACTTTAAAATATTGTAGTTTAGTTTAAAATATCGTAGTTTACATTAACATATTGTATTTTACTTTAAAATATTGTAGTTTACTTTAAAATATCGTAGTTTACATTAACATATTGTATTTTACTTAAAAATATTGATGTTTAAGAAAAAAGATGGAAAGGAGTTGGTGCCTATTTGGCCTGTATATTTTTTCTAAATTATTTTCCTTAACTGTAAATTGTACTTTAGATAAAACATTATTTGGGTTTTACATGAAAATAGTAAGCCAGGACTTAGGAGTGTAAAATAAGGATTTTAAGTTTTTTGATTCAGTGGAACAAAATGTTTTTTTCTTTAAAAATTATTAAAATTTATTAAAAAATATGTCATTTAACCTAAAAAATATTGTAGTTTGCTAAAAAAAAAGGTTGCATTTTACTAACAAAAAATATTTCACTTAATCATAAAAGATTAAAGTTTACTAAAAAAGGTTGTAATTTAAATTTGTTTATCTATTTACCTAAATCATCAACTACGAGCATCACCAAATGAGGAGGTTTCGCAACCTTTTAATTGTTTAAATGAATAAAAATTAAAAATATAATAATTTTATACAGAAAGATTTAAATTTACAACTACCTGCGAATTGCTGGATCGTAGAGCTAAGCAACTCAAAACTAAAATTAAAAAGTAGAAAAGAGAATGGAAATACAAAAATAGAATTTTTAAAATGCCACTTTAAAAATGGTGAAATGACTTTTCCTACAGCGTTCCTTTTCAATTTTCTCAGAAAATTAAAATAATTTTCAAGGAAAGAAGATTGATCACTATAATTGACAAGTCGAGGGAAAAAATGTGAAAAATGAAATTTAAGATTTGATAAAACTTTAATTACTCCCTTTGTTTAGATTTTGCAGAATGCACAGACTTTTTATCGACAATTTAACGCTTTATATTTAACAGCTTTGTCTTAAACCACCACCCCCCCCTCCTCCAGGAGGGGCTATGTGGATGCTTAGCCCCCCCCCCTAGGTCAGTGAAATCCATGTTTTTCAGGGGTCTGTTTTCCCTCCTGTTAGCAAAGATGCAAGGCTTCCCCTGCCACCCCCCCTTACGAATTTTTACCCTTGGCCTTCCCCCTTCCTACCCATGGCCATACCCCCCCTCCCCGCCCTATAGAAAATCAATATTAATTTTTGTTGGTATAGTATTCATATCAAAACTAAATCTTCGATGTTTAATATAGTTATTTTTTTTCATTGTAAAAAATGCTTTAATTTCAATTTATGAAAGCTGCCAACTTTTTTTAAAAGAAATTTTTTTGTCCCAAGCCCAGGAAGTTATCGGGTTGTTACTGTATTGTAGGAGATTATTATTGATCTCCCAGGGGTTGTAATCTGGCAGCACATTTATACGTCCACACTTCATTTATTCTAAGATGAGTGCTGACAAGAATCATCCAGCTGCATAAATACCTGTATAAATAGTCCGGAACATATTTGTGAATTGGAACTTTACACTTAGATCCAACTTAAAACCAAGTCTACATTTTTTCAATCTAAAAATAATTTTTTTCGAGTGAGTTTGGAATTTTGATTCAGAACTCGAATGCAAAATTTTAAGCAAGTCAATCAAGACAACGCACAGTGCCTAAAACAAGGAAAAAGTGGCAAAAACCTTTTTTTACTTTATCTTGATATTTAAAAGCATACTGAACAAGGAAACCCCATTTTTATATGATTTTGTATATTTTTACTGCTTTCATGACCCTGTTATATGAAGGTTGTATGGGGGTTTATATTCACTATACATTTTTAGAGTTTTCATGCAATTCTAAAACTCGTCACAAAATGGTAATTTTTCAAAATTTTTCTTTCATTTTTTTGGTGAACACCATATTTATATTACATCTGGTGAGTAAAACTGATATTAGACTTTCATCGAAACCAAAAATTAATATTTGAATTTCACAATTTGAGAAAAAATTATAAATTTCCAGAAAAAAATATTCACAATATTTACTTTTGCTAAAAATGTCCACACTTGTCCACCCTGAATTTTGATGGGGAATCTTGAATATATACATGAATGTCCGCAAAATAAAAATCCGCCCAGAAATAGCACTTTTTAGAGAAAATGAATCTTAAAGTTTCAAAATCTGGGATTTTTTAGGCACTTTTTACAGAAAAGTATATTTACCATTTAGTGGGGAAAAACTTCAGAATTTGTAAATTTGAAAAAATATTTTGAAAAATTATTTTCTGACTTGGGTTAGGTTAATGATTCAATTTTAATGTATTTGGAGCCAAAAAGGGTTGAAATCGATTTAGAAAATTGATTTGAGGATTTTTGCCGTTTTTCCCTAGCTGTGTGGCACTGTGCACTGTGCAGTGTGCAACGTCGACGATGAATTCTTAAAAACTTAAAAGGTTCCTTCAATCTTTGATAACTGCAAAAAGTAATAAGATAAATCTTAGATAAATTTTTTCAACTTGTATGTAATTAAATTATTTTATTTCTAATATTTTGTGGAGCCCTTTTCCTCGAAAATGTATTTTTTAGGAGAAAAAACTTTAATAGCAAGAATGCAGCTCATTAAAGTTTAATTGAACTAAAAAGATAAAGCTCGTTTAAACACATGATAAGGAACGGGGAGTTATAACTTGAGATGCTAAAAATCCGCGCAAATAAATTTTAAGAGGTTGTGAGATTTTTAGGAAAAAGTGTTTGCTGTATGTTTTTCTACTCGGCTTGGATTGAAAGCAGGGGTCCATATAATTTCATGATGGGTAGTTGTAGAAAAAATTCCATACTGCAAGGGAGTGTTTAGAAAGATATGCATGGCTAGATCAAAAGCCCCAAGGCGTTGCAACACTTTAAAGTTGACCCAGTCTTGCAAATTTATGCAATTTTTCTTAGCAACTTGGATCACAGGGAGAAATGGGCTTGGAATTAATGTTTTTTAGAAATATACATATTCTGGTATAGTTTACTTTGTAATATAAATCCTTAAAACTAAAGAAATCTTAAAATATTTAGATAAAAAATTTAGTTTTTGTCGTCTTATTTATTTAATTATAAAGCCGCTAAGAAAGAGTTTTGAAATTACATCTAAACTAAATGTGTCTTAAATAAAGAAATTATTGAGAACTACGAAAATGTGGAATACGAACACGACATTTAAGCAATCCTATGTGTGAAAATCAAATTATAGTCATGCGAAAGGGATCTGTGTACACTGCACAAGTACTGTATTTCGTGTTCATATGAAAATCAAAACTTTAATTCTAAAAGTCGTCTTTCTATTCCACATCAGAGTTGTGGCCCGTGGGTTTTCTAAAAAGTAAAATAAAAATAAAAGACGACATTAGTTCCACACTTTTCTAGTTCCTACTGAAGTTGAAACAAATAAGTTACTCTGCGGTTTACTATGTACTACATAGATCCAATTTCAAGTGAATCTCTATTTATTGCGTGTTTACAATGGCAGTGGCAAATTTAATAGACTGTCGAGAATGCGAAGATTATCAAGAATGCGAAGACTATCAAGAATGCGAAGACTATCAAGAATGCGAAGACTATCAAGAATGCAAAGACTATCAAGAATGCGAAGACTATCAAGAATGCGAAGACTATAAAGAATGCAAAGACTATCAAGAATGCGAAGACTATCAAGAATGCGTGGGATTTCCATTGATTCTCTAGATTTGCAAATTCATTATATTCTAAAAGTGACTGGAAGATTTCTTCTGCAGAAACAATGGAGAAAATTGTCCATACTTTCTGATTTGATTGATTGATTAATTTTAAATTGGTGTAAAGGGTACCGCTTGGAAATCGGTTACTTGAATATACTCATGTTTAGTTGAAACCACTGTAGTGTTTTAAATAGTCATGTTTAGTTGAACCCACTGTAGTGTTTAGTATAGACATGTTTAGTTGATACCACTGTAGTGTTTAATATACTCATGTTTAGTTGAACCCACTGTAGTGTTCAATATACTCATGTTTAGTTGAACCCACCCTAGTGTTTAATTTCACAGTCCTTAAGGTTCAACACAGACCAATGTTTTAATAAAAACTGAGTGTGTTGACTACAGGGTACAGACCAAGTAGGAGAAAACATGTGACCTAGATATTACAGGTCTCACGAAGATGGTTCAGATCATGGGTACTGGAATAGGGTAAGGTAGTCACACAATTCTAGCTTCTGTATCTTACCTACGTCACAACAATAGTTTTAATCAGTGACGTCAGAGGATACAGATCTTCCCCCGGACGGTATCGACCTTTCATTCGTGCGCGAGCCTCGTTGGGATACCCTATTCCGGTACCCATGGTTCAGATCTAACTAATGTTAGGTTCGAGTTTACACCTATACACTCAAATCAGAGTTGGAAACTTTTTAAAGAAAGGTCTCGAAGAAAATCTTTTCTCACCCCACTAAACCCCGGTAATTCTTGAGTCCGAGTAATGTAAAATACTGCAGCTATCATTGCAGGGGTAAGTTTGGCACCAAGAAGGATCAGTGGAACTAAACGGTCTCTCTTTGGTCTTATTTCCGAAGCTTTTAAATCGGTTAATCTCCTGCAAGGAGAGAACAAATTTAACTGCATCCTGTTCAAAAGTTCCAAACTCAGACAGGTAAATTTAAAATTGAGATTGATCTTATGGATAGATAAAACCAAATTTGGAGAATAAAAAGAAATTTCATAATTTCTTTAGTCTTTAAAATCGCATTGAAATCTTCCCATTAAAGAAAAAATATGTATTACATGTTATAATTTGGAATTGACGAATTGAATTCGGAACAAATATTATGAAAAAATAAAATAACTATGTTAACTATCAACTATATACGAATACATCAAATTAATTTCTACATCGATAGGTTGCAATATCTGATTTGATAGGTTGCAATATCTGAATTGATAGGTTGCAATATCTGAATTGATAGGTTGCAATATCTGAATCGATAGGTTGCAATATCTGAATCGATAGGTTGCAATATCTGAATGAATTGAATTATTTACAGTCTGAGTAAAATAACGCAATTATGCGGAGTTTGTGTGTGGGTCAGAGCTCTTTGGAATGAGTAATTTTTAACCATTTTCTACATATAGATCGACTCAAAAGAAAGAATAAAGATTAGTAGCGATCGAGATCAAATTCAATTCTGGATCAGCCTATTCCTCCTTTCATTTTCGTGAACGCTCCCTTTAATTCCCATGTTTATTTGGACAGCCTGTAGTGAAGTGATCATCAAAATCACAGCGTAAATATATAAGACTATCAGTCTCAAGGAACCCCCAACTATACCCTTTAATTCTTTAGCAAGATTAAGGTGAAATATCGTAGGTTTTCGTTGTCTCTGCTGAATAAGTCGAGTCGAGTCAAGTCATCGAGAGGAACCAACCTTATTATACAACCTTGGTATGATTGGTGAATATGGACCCAACACAGGAATAATTAAAAACCTGATGTTGCGCTGATAAGGATAAAGTCTTCGTTCAGAAAATCGCTAAAAACTTCGAAACTGGATTTATTTTATTTAGCAAAGCAAACATAACAGCTATACTCCTCATTATATTATGAAGTGTCAATTATAATATAATAATATTTAATGATGTACACCGCCGTGTTGTTTGGGATTAGATACAAGATATTCAGGTACAATCGGGTGTTGCATATATAACACGGCATACGAATACAAAACATGTTTCACATTTTATCAACAAGGCAAAATATTTAATTAGTTTTACACAGAAATTAATATCATGATTCCCTCAAATTAGCCATAAAAACCACTAAGTAGGGAAAAAGTTATCTTAAATCGTAAATACGCGTAAGATAACAATGCTCTATTCACAATGGTACCCTAGACACCTGGCTAAAAATGTGGAATTGTGTTTTTTCCCTGACACGATAATTTCTCCAGTTTCTTCAAGATAAAAAATTTGCATGTTACTTTTACATAGAGTACATGGATGAAAATAAAACAGTTTAAATAAACAAAAACATAAGATGTCTAATTAAAACTTCATCATACAAATCTTGTAAGGGTACCGTTGTTAATCGGGCATTGCATGAAAGGTCACTTGAAATTACACTTAACGATTTCATTAAAAAGGATAAGAAATGATTTTATTATTTTAAATCTTTCCATTAGGAAAATATCCACAAAAATTCATATCTAAGAGAAATAGCATTTGATAAAAATTACTTAAAAATGCCTTTGATAAAATGGGAAACATAAAAAATACATACAAGGAAAAGTCGAGGTTCAAAGAAGGGTTTTAACTCTTTCTTTTATCTTAAAGGGACTGTAAACATAAATTCAAATCAGCCTACACATAGACAGACTGACATGTGCAATTCACGACGGTACCCTTTTTTATAGCCTTAATGATTAGGTACAATTAGATATCCATACCTTTGTGTTTGATAACAGACTATCTTCTTTTTTGGTTAATTCAAAAATGAAACTTGCCACTGACGCAATGAAGATATTAACGACAATATCTTCCACATTTTAGTCGAGATAAAGTTTCAAGGGTACCAATGCGAGTCTGACATGTCCCTCTTTAGTCTTTAAGAAGAGAGTCACTTCAAATTACGACTACAGTTCCTTTAACCAGCGACATGCAGGAACAGAAATTATAATTTAAAGTGTCCTAAAACAAGAAAAGTTTAGTTAATGAGGTTTAGAACTTCCTGCCTTATTCAATTCAATCTTAGGAAATTTCATAGCATAAAGCATTAAATTTAAAATATTCAATGTCGGATGAAATGACAAATTAAATAGTTTTTGAAAAAAAGTTCTGAGGGCGAGAAAATTAAAGTTAGAAAAATTCCAGAGAAGACATTTAAAAAAAAAATAATTTTATAATTAAAAAATTTTAAAAATAATTTTAAGATCGAGAGGAAGAAAAAACGTTTGTTTAAAAAATCCCAGATAAATTGAGAAAAGGCAGTAGACTTGAATCTCATTCATTAAACCTTGACACAAATATACAACTATCCTTCTTGGACATTAATCAAGGAATCACATTTTAAGAAGCATATGTAGGGGTTCAAACTGCTGAAAATAAGGAGCAGTTCAGAAAAATAGATGGATTGTTTTCAATCATTTCTCTAAAAATATGAACAGTTTTGGCACCAAGGTGCAGGCTAGAGGAACAGTAGAGGACTTCCTTCTGTTAAACAACTCTTCATGAATATTGAAAAGGAGGAAAAGATTCATATTTAATTTTTGAGTTGAATATCTAATGATTTTCTACAAATAATCCTCCTGACCGAAACCATTAAAAATATGGTTTATCTATAATTTCCCTTTCAATGTGCATCAACAAGTGATAAAGGAAGTCTGCTAAACTGCGTGCTGCGAATATTAAATGTGATTTTGATTTCAGCTTGGGTTGAAAACAAAATATTTTGATATCACAGTTTATGTAAATTTGAGAGTTAGGTCCGCTCCGATTAAAAACCGGGTTGTTTGTTTGTTTTCATTAATGACCCTTTCCCCCCTAACTGTTCGTTCAACCCTATCTGGATTGTTAAGTCTGTGTCCACCATTTTAAATTCAGTAATGATTTAGAGACGGGTTAAGGTTTAGAGTTTCTCCTTGGATGGAACCCAGATAGTGTCTCCAGACTGTTCTTGGATTACATCTTTAACCTTCTCATACAACTCCTCTGGGGTATCACCCTGAAAGGAAAATGTCAAAAATAGAAGAAAATTTTTAAAAATATTTTTCTTACAAAGTCGGTGTTTTTTCCTCATTATGTATTAGAACACAAAATGTCAAATTTAGTTAGTAAAAATCTACAAAATTTAACAAAAAAATTGCCCATTTCAAAATTAAAAAAATTTGAAATAACATGAAAAATTCTTCAATCTTATTTCTTACGATGTCTGTGTTTTTTCCACATTATTTATTAGAACACAAAATGTTTAATTTAGTTAATAAAAATCTACAAAATTTACCAAAAAAATTCGCATATTTCTAAATTTGAAAGAACATTTTAAAACAATTCTTAAATCTTATTTCTTACGATGTCTGTGTTTTTTCCCTATTTATTTATTAAAGCCCAAAATGAAGATAAATGAAAAAAAAGAAGATATATGTAGTTAAATATAAATTGTATGTTAAAATAAAATAAGTTAAATTCTATGCCTGTACAACTGCGGTGAAAAACTCGCCAAATTCACTTTCTAGTTTTAAGGCTCGTTCAAAAGTTTTCCGACCCTAAAAAATTACAAAAATAAATACATTTGTAAATAGAGTAAAAATCAGTCTCATAACAAGGTAATTTTGTTATATATCGTTTGGTAGAATGAGCTTATACAAGATAAGCAAGCCCACGATGGGTTTCAAAAGATCAGACTTGAAACACTGTTAAGAGATAAGAAACAGAAAACAACATTCTTAATCAAGATAAAGTTTAATGTTTTTAGTTTCCAGGGCCATTAAATCTTGGTATATTCTGTTTTCAGTAATAATGTGTATAAGATCAGCTATTCAAGACAGTTCATTTTAAACCTATCCTAGGACCAAAATAAATAAATTTGAGTTAGGCCACTGAACTACATACTGACGGCTCAAATTTGAATTACCGCATCAAAGCTTTACATTTATGAGATTTTGAATCGGTGATTCAGGATTTTAATCGGTTGTAGGTAGTTAAGCGAACTCTACAATTCATTAAATTCGGTCCCTGGTTCAACCCATCTTTTAAATTGTGACGGATTTTTATTTTTTAGAGATTTTCTGAGAACATGACATTTTTCTTTATTTAGTCTCAAAAAATGGATTTTTTAAAAAATATTTTTTTCCCAAATTTTTTTTTGAAAATATTTTTTTCGAGTAGGGTGGGGGGCAGGACAATGTTTCACCTGATCTTCGGTCATTCGTTTATTCATCTCAAGGATAGATTCTACACACTTAGGTTTTAGGAACACAGCTGCAACATAAATCATATTAATCAAATTAATTAGATAAATAAAAAAGCAGACGCTTAATGGGAGTGTTCGCGAAAAATAAGAGGGAGCATAGGCTTACGGCGAAGAACTACTAATCTTACTTCTATCTGTTGCGTCTTTAAGGAGAAAATTGTTAAATACGACTTATACTGAAGAACGTAGTCTGATCGAAAAAAAATTTAATTCCAAACAAATCATTTAGATATAGCAACCCATAGTCATCGATAATTTTTCGACGCATTCGTATAAAGTTGATATTTTATAATATTTTTGATAGAAAAGTTTGAGGACAATTTACGTGCTGCAACATGTACATAACTTATGCCTAAAAGATGAGACAACGCATTAATATATTTTATTTGAATTTAGATATATGTGAACTTTATTCAGTAAATTTTACACGAGTATCATGCAAACACAAAAATGTTTTAGCAATACAATTTTTTATTATTAATTTTTTTACCAATAGGGTAAAGTGTGGCAACATGAAGTCTCTTGATTGCGTTGGCAGAAACGTCCAGGATACAGTGCTTACCCTAGGTTCAAGATAGGCATTGTTATTCAACTTATCTTATTTTTAAGAAATGTAAATACTAAATTTCAAGTTTGCTTTTGTAAAATTGTCAACATTAAAAAGTTTAAAAATATTTGATTTAAAATTGAAAATCATCTCAGATTCTGGTGGGCCCATATATATTTTTAAAACTAAACTCTTCGCTTATGTAAAAAATGGCAAAATGACAAAATTGGCTAACATTTTTTGAGTAAACCCATGGGTACCCTGGGGGTAACATAGGCTAAAAACAAATTCGATTTTTTAAAAATTCCACCGGCAACGCCTTCGGGTTTATCATTGAATCCCTCGAGGGTTTAAATTTCCATTGATTCTAATTTCCTTGAGAGTAAATGATACATTTTTTTATCATACAAAATGTACAAAAAGACTACAAATAAGTAAAATGTAGTGAGGGTTGGTTATTATCTTTGCAGTGCAGGGAAGAAACAAGTGAATCATAAAATTAACCAACTTCTCTTCTTTTGACAATTCCATTTAAAAAAGCAAAAAATACAACAAAAACATTTGTTTTCCACTATTTTCTATAATTCGTCAGTAGAGTCAGATAAAATTACTGCAAACAAATTTTTACGCGTAAATAACAAAATATATTGAGGAAAAATATTCGCCCCCCCCCACACCGTCTTTCAACAAGATTGTTTGCGCGAAGTGAAATTATGATGGCGGGTTTAGTCTTTGAATGAAAAAGGGGTAATTAAATTAACTTTAAGGGGAAAAACTTGCCAGCGAATGTCCACTTTTAGTTCCCACTCGAAAATTAAAAAATTTACAGACCTGTCCTATTCTAAATAACCCGGAATAATATAATTAAATAATGACTTCAAAGTCGTCTTTGACCCTGGAAATAGTTTGCGGCATTAAACATAGATAACCCGAGTTTTGCAATATTTTTTAAAGACAATATCACAGAGTGACAGAATGGCCCTAGTCATGCCATTTCCAAAAAGTGGTGTGACATTTCTGTGCATTCATAAATACCGGGGATATGTATGATTTCGTAACATTTGTATGGTATTATTCAATAAACAGAAATTTAAACAAAATTCTTAATATTTCTGGTATTTTTAAAACAACAAAAATGACAGGATTAGGGTAATGTTGTGATTATTCTTTAACTAAAAATATTGCTAACAACGTCAAGCTACCTATAATCAATGCCGCAAGATTTTCTAAGGTCCAAGATGACTTTTAAGTTATCATTCTATTTATTTTATTCTAGATAATTTAGAATAGGACTGTAGAAAATATAAATCTGATTAATACCTGGACAGCGACATCTTTGACTGACTGTACTGAAGTACCGTACAAGTTATCATTGTACTGTCCTGAATTAAAAACACCTGGTAGAATTATTTTGTCCTTAAGAAAAATAAAACAAGTAATAAATAATAATAATAATAATAACTATAACTTTTATAAAAAAATAATTTAATATTTATATGCATATCTATAAAGCGTCAAAATAGCACTTTAAAAATCTAGTTTATGAGTATGACACAAAAGAACATAATAACTAAAAATACAGCCTTAAGAGACATTGTTTTAACTTTTTAAGACCTATTGAACAACGAAACAATGTCCCAACAAGCAAACAAACTAAGAACTTGAGTTTTTCCTAGAAACATATTGTGTTTTTAGAAGAAAACAAAAATAAAATTCGTAGAAACTACAGAATACAGTTTCATAAGTTCAGTGGTGTAAATTTTCTCGAAAATACTACCAAACCAAACCAATTTTTCCCCTATTAAATGATTTAAAAAGAAATACAATGAATTTTTGGGTGAAGTGTATCAAAAGAATGAAAAAACTTGCCATTTTATGTTCGATTTTTCAATTTTTCAAATTTTACCTGAGTCTAAATTTGTCAAAAATCGTCTATTTTTTTTTACAGTAAAACGATCTCGCTAGCTTGTAGTTTACCTGCTTCAATAAAAAGATGGGTTTGTATATCCTTCTCCATCTGTTCAACAGAAGAAACAAAATGATAATCCCGTCCATCAACCTGCAGACAATCAATTAATCAATTAATAGATTCATAAGTCCATGAATCCATGAATCCATGAATCCATGAATCCATGAATCCATGAATCAATGAATCAATGAATCAATGAATCAATGAAAATAATTGGTCGATTTCTTTAATACCAACATTGATGCAAAGAGTTTAAAGAATCATGTATTTAATTGTATTAAAGTATTTAATTGTATTAAAGTGTATAAATTAATGGAATTAAATTTGAAATTTCGATACACCGACATAGGTTTGAACGACCTAGGGTCAAAAGACAGAGGAAAAAACGACTTAGTGTCAAAAGACGACAAAAGGACATATTTATATATTTTTGATTACATCAAGACTATTTGAGGGCCGAGCGCAGCGGCCACAATTCTAAACAGAGCGCCGCAGCTAGGACAGTCGAATTCTGCATTTGTCCCCGTTTGCCCCTTTGTCCATTGACTCTATGGCATTTGAGTGACCCTTTGTCGGCGATTCAATATTTCACAAACACTTCCTTCAAAGTTTAAATAATATATGACACCTCGTGTTCTCTTCTCGGTCTTGTTGTATGAGGAACACAGGAACCAAATCTTTCAGGGAACTCACGCATAAGGTCGTCGTTAATCCGATCCTAATATTTAAAAATAAAAACTTGACTAAATTAGTTTTTACACCAGAGACTTTGATGTTTGTCTCATGTAAATGATATAATTAATTGGACCAGGGATAATTATAGGTCTAGTAAACTCTACCTTCATTGGACCAGGGATAATTATAGGTCTAATAAACTCTACCTTCAATGGACCAAGGATAATTATAGGTCTAGTAAACTCTACCTTCATTGAACCAGGGATAATTATAGGTCTAATAAACTCTACCTTCAATGGACCAGGGATAATTATAGGTCTAATAAACTCTACCTTCATTGAACCAGGGATAATTATAGGTATAATAACTCTACCTTCAATGGACCAAGGATAATTATAGGTCTAATAAACTCTACCTTCATTGGACCACGGATAATTATAGGTCTAATAAACTCTACCTTCATTGGACCAAGAATAATTATAGGTCTAATAACTCTACCTTCATTGGACTAAGGATAATTATAGGTCTAATAAAGTCTACCTTCATTGGACCAAGGATAATTATAGGTCTAGTAAACTCTAAATCTATTTCTTCAACAGGTTCATATGTTAAAATATTCCCTTCTCTCATCTCGTCTCGAGATCTGAAAAAAATGAAAAATTGATTAATTTTTAGAAATATGAATTTCCTTTTTTTCTAAATTAAAAAAAAAGAGCTGGCAATGATTCTCCGTAATCTCCGTTGAGAATAATCAGAATTTACAAAAATCTAATCTAAAAACCCACGCTAGCTATTTTTTTTTCTGAGAAAAAACTGACTTTTTATAGTTGAACAAATTTTTTAACATTATGATAAATCCTTGTAGTTCTAAATTCTATTTTAAAAATCTAACTAAAATGTGCCTAAAGCATGCTTTTATATGAAAAGTAAGTACTTCTTTACGTGTTGTAACTTGTAAGTAATTGAACAATAACGATCTAAATGTGAAACATAAATCTTACTTTTGCGATACATGACTTTGAATGCTGAAATATAAATGAATAAAAGTTTAAAAAAATAAGTATTAAATATCTAAATAATAAATCAGACATTCGTAAATATATATGTTGCCTATAGCCAACCAAACGGCTGGACCGAATTGGCTGAATTTTTTTGTGGACCTTCATGGGTGGCCGTGGTGGGGATTTATTTCTCCCAATTTTTTTTCTTCAATATTTTTTTCAAATATTTTTTTCCACGGGCAACGCCGGGCCTTTCAGCTAGGATTGTAATTCGGCGGATTTCATCTTTAATGTCTGACAAATCAAAAATTAGTATGAATAAGTTCAATAGTGTTTCACTTTCAGAAACAGTATTGTAAATATTATAACCCTGATTATAAAATATTAACATGCGGATAGTTTTCAGGCTTAGGTTTGTTGATCTCCCCCCCCCCCCCAAGAGATTTTAAGAATTTCTTAAAGGGTCTTTTACCGAAATGACGAAAATAAACAAGTTAAATGGAAAGTAAGTTTTTAAGCAATAATTAATCAATACCCGGGTTCCTCCTAGAATACGATTTTTGGACCCTTCCTATCCTTTTTTTTCATGACCTAGATTTCAACTATTTTCAACAAAAAAATATTTATTTAGTATTATTTCAGTGTTAGGTTCGGTCAATTTCAGGGCCGAGCGCTGCGGCTAGGACATGCTTAGGGGGCCGAGCGCTGCGGCCAGGACATACCTTCAATTTCAAAATTTTCGACAAAATTACTATATATTTAGGATTAGGTTAGGTTAGGACACTTTCTGGGCCGAGGGAATATACAAAATTTATAGAAGGGGGGAGGGGGTTTCCAAAAATCGTTCTCTAGAAAATTACCAAATATCCGTTGTGAATCCTATTGACTGTAATTTTCGCACGGGGGGGGGGATATACCACTGATTAATTGTAACACTTCATCCCCTTAGCTTACCTGTGATTACTACCGTTCTCAAATGAATCCTCGTCGTCCATTTTGTTTAATCTGTCACGTGATTTCATAAATGGGAATCGTCGGCTGAAACTTATTTTCTGTTTGGCGTGCTGCCGATTCAAAGCACTTGTACTCCTAAACACATCAGTTTCTTCGTTTTCAATTTTAACATTATCAGATTCAAAAATATAAGTCCATTTCCTGCATTTCCTTGCCTTTTTTTTGTTGGACTCAACAAAACTTTCATATAAAATCAGCTAATTCCACCTTTCCTGTCTCAACTTCAGTTTAGTGGAAAAAATAGAAAAAGAAAATTACAGAATATAAATATATAATACTTACTTGTGCAGCTTTGCCTTGAACTTGTAAACTTGCTCAAATTAGAATTTTCACCCAAGCAAAACATATTCCAATGGTTCTCCCGAGACCCCAATCAAAATTTGAGGCAAATCGCTCAAGGGGTTTATAAGTTTTGATCGAACACCCAAAAAGAGATTTCTACATTATAAATAAATTATTTACTATTTTAAAAGGACCCTGATAAATAATGAAGGATTGCTGACCTATCAAGACTAGTTGAGCTACGACCAGGGCCTCCAAATCTTAATGTTCGATTCTTCATTCGCTGTTTCCTCTCCCACCTAAACAATTAAAACCTTTATTACAGATTTAACTTATGAAAAGAAGTCTTCAGCCGAGTCTTTATTTGTACTAAAGAGTCAAAAAATTCAAAAAACCTTTAAATGAATATCAAATACACCCAATAATTACGTCATTCAAATTTATTAAATTATTATTTTGTGGTAAGCGATTTTATCAATACAATGAAGACGATTTTTTAAATTGATATTGATTGTTAGTTAACAAGCTTTTTTTCGAATTAGAAGTTTACAAGTAATCCAAGAGAAGTTTTTTAATTTGACAGTTTCTCTTGACTTTTATATTTATGTGAATTCATGCTGTTTAACACCTTGATATAAATCAAAATTAAAAGCAAAAGTCGTCTTCCTTGTATTGATATAATCGCTTACAACTGTATACAAAAATAGCTGTAGTGCCCAGCGTTGCCTGTAAAATCTGAACTATCATTTTAGGAAAACTACAGCCTGAAAGAAGAAGGCTAAATATCTGTGACCCACTCAATAACTATATATGCAGGATGGTTAATTAATCAATAAATTCCCTTTAAACCTGTCAATTTTCAAGTTAAAAGAACATCTAATGTTATTTTATTCCGTATGTTAAAAAAACTAAGATATAATGTAAACCAGATTTTAATCGAGCATCTGAAAGGAAAATAATATTGGCACATTTAAATGTTAAAACTGTAAACATGTAATATTCAAATCAAATGAAACCATATTATATGAAACCATGTTAAATGCAACCAAATCAAATGAAACCAAATCAAATGAAACCAAATCAAATGAAACCAAATCAAATGAAACCAAATCAAATGAAACCAAATCAAATGAAACCAAATCAAAAGAAACAATCAAATGAAACCATATTAAATGACGTCAAATCAAATGAAACCATATTAAATGAAACCATATTAAATGAAACCATATTAAATGAATCCATATTAAATCAAACTAAATCAAATGAAACCAAACTATTTTATAGGAAATAAAATGAAACAAAATCAATTGAAACAATATCAATTAAAACAAAATCAAATAAAACCACATCAAAAGAAACAAAAATGAAATGTATAAAAAATGGTTAGTTAATTATTAATTACCTTAATTTGGACGGAATAATACCTAAGCCAGCCTCCTCCCCATTAGGTAGCAGTTTACGTGCCTAAATAGTAAAAGATAGTAAAAGATAGTAAAAGATAGTAAAAGACAGTAAAACATAGTAAAAGATAGTAAAAGTTAGTAAAACATAGTAAAAGATAGTAAAAGATAATAAAAGATAGTAAAAGATAGTGAAAGATAGTAAAAGATAGTAAAAGATAGTAAAAGATAGTAAAAGATAGTAAAAGATAGTAAAAGATAGTAAAAGATAGTAAAAGATAGTAAAAGATAGTAAAAGATNCATAGTAAACATAGTAAACATAGTAAACATAGTAAACATAGTAAACATAGTAAACATAGTAAACATAGTAAACATAGTAAACATGGTAAACATATTTAACTTTTTAATTTAATATACTCTGTTCAGACTTTTCCAAAGAAACAGATTATTTTCCTTAAACCATAATCCTCTTATAAACTTTTATGAAAAAATTATTTCGTTTACTTAAAAACTTTATCATTTCACAAGTTCGTTGAAAAAAATCCAAAAAATTTTATGGGATAAATGTAATTTAATTTAAAGAAGGTTGCAAAAATATAAGAAATGAAATAGTTTTCCTATTTTCAAAGCTAAAAACTTTTGATAAGAATAGAGTAAAATTACGAAACTTTTTATTAAATCTTATTAATAAATAAGTGTATCACTTGTTGAATCTTCGAGAACTAGTTCAACTCGCAAGAACTGCGTTAAACTCGGAAATTATTAGTTACGGATTTCAGATTATAAGAGCGGATCAATACCTGCCACCACTCGTCATCGGAAGCATTAGTAACATGAAGTATATCTCCGTAGTTAAACATTAATCCTCTACTCGGTAATCCATCATCCTGGAACATAAAATGTTAATCCTATACTCGGTAATCCATCGTCCTAGAACATAAAATATTAATCCTCTACTCGGTAATCCATCATCCTGGAACATAAAATGTTAATCCTATACTCGGTAATCCATCATCCTAGAACATAAAATATTAATCCTCTTCTTAGTAATGCATCATCCTGGAACATAAAACATTAATCCTCTACTCGGTAATCCATCATCCTGGAACATAAAATATTAATCCTCTACTTGGTAATCCATCATCCTGGAACATAAAATACTAATCCTCTACTCGGTAATCCATCATCCTGGAACATAAAATATTAATCCTCTACTCGGTAATCCATCATCCTGGAACATAAATATTAATCCACTGCTTAGTAATCCATCATCCTGGAACATAAAATATTAATCCACTTCTTAGTTATCCATCATCCTGGAACATAAAACATTAATCCACTGCTTGGTAATCCATCATCCTGGAACATAAAACATTAATCCACTGCTTAGTAATCCATCATCCTGGAACATAAAATATTAATCCTCTACTCGGTAATCCATCATCCTGGAACATAAAATATTAATCCTCTTCTTAATAATCCATCATTCTGGAACATAAAACATTAATCCTTAGTAATCCATCATCCTGGAACATTAAACATTAATCCTCTACTCGGTAATCCATCATCCTGGAACATAAAACATTAATCCACTGCTTAGTAATCCATCATCCTGGAACATAAAATATTAATCCTCTACTTAGTAATCCATCATCCTGGAACATAAAATATTAATCCTCTTCTTAGTAATCCATCATTCTGGAACATAAAATATTAATCCACTGCTTAGTAATCCATCATCCTGGAACATTAAACATTAATCCTCTACTCGGTAATCCATCATCCTGGAACATAAAATATTAATCCTCTGCTTGGTAATCCATCATCCTGGAACATAAAATATTAATCCTCTTAATCCTCTACTTGGTAATCCATCATCCTAGAACATAAAACATTAATCCTCTACTCGGTAATCCATCATCCTGGAACATAAAATATTAATCCTCTTCTTAGTAATCCATCATTCTGGAACATAAAACATTAATCCTCTTCTTAGTAATCCATCATCCTGGAACATAAAATATTAATCCTCTTCTTAGTAATCCATCATTCTGGAACATAAAACATTAATCCTCTTCTTAGTAATCCATCATCCTGGGACATAAAATATTAATCCTCTACTCGGTAATCCATCATCCTAGAACATAAAACATTAATCCTCTTCTTAGTAATCCATCATCCTGGCTGAAATTATTCGAAGGAACCCGGGGGGCAACAAAGGCTAAAAAATTCCTGTTTTTAATACGAAATTTTTCTTTTAAAATTTCTTATTTTAAATTAAAACTTTTACTTTAAAAATTCAAATTGTTGTTTTTAAAATTTTTGGAAAAGGTAAAAAATCCCTTTAAATATTGTAACAAGCTTTAGAGTGACCTCAATTTTTGAAGAACATGTAATTTTCCAATCATAGTAATTCGTAAAAATTATCTAAAGATTGTTGAAAACAAGCGTTCATCCATTTTATCCCATTTGATCAAAATCTACGAGAAAATAAAAAATCAACCACATAATCCTTAAATTTAAACGTTCTCTAAGTGCATATCGAGATCAAACGTTTTAGATAAGTTCTGACACTGATAGTGATTGGCTCACCTTATTCGGATCGTAGTCAAAAAGTGCTCTAACATAAAGGGTTCTCTTGGGTGAAGTACGAACTAGTGTTCCTGTAATAGTTTGCTGCAAGGAGTGCAACTTTGCTTCATATCTAGGAATAATTATTTATTTAAAAATATATCTATACATGTATATTATATATATCCCTCCCCCACTCCCAAAACAGGGTTGGATTTTTTCCCGAAGCAAAGCTCTAGGGTTGGAAAAGTTCTTCCATGAACGAACCAAAGTTTTGGAAAATGAACGGAATATTCTGTTACAGTTAAGAATCGCTAAGTTTTTGATTAGTAGTAGAGCTTGTTGATGTTGTAGCCATTGATCCATGCATAATGCATAGTAACGTAAATGGACCCAAAAGTTTGATGTCAAGTTCTTTTAACCACCGAGTGAATGGGGAAAGGTTTGCGTTCAATAGAACATTGCTAAAACTAACTGATTGACCTACTGACAGGGTGTAAGGTATAGAAGGGAGATATAATTGACGCGGTTCGCCCTACCATATGATTATACATGCTTTGCAGACGGATACTCCATTTGTATATGAAATATTCAGAATAGGTTATTGTATACGCGGTGATTGTACACCAGACAAATATTTCATATGCAAATGGAGTACCCGTCTGCAAAGCATGTATAATCATATGGTAGGGCGCACCGCGTCAGTTAAATCACCCTTCTATTCCTTACTCCCTGCCTACTGACTACTCCATTATTACATTATTTTCGAGTATTAGCAGGTTAGCATGTTATGTCATTCAACGACTGTAATTCAATACTTTTGATCCAAATGCTAGAAGCAAGCTATGCGTCCAAAAGAAGGGGGGGGGGATAAAAGAAATTAATATCAGTGTTGTCTGATGTAAAGCCTAACCTTGTATACTCTTCAGGTTTATATTGAACAGTAATTTTTACATGCTGCCCCGCACCTTTCAATTCCTAAAATATATTTTCAGATTAGTAAAATTATTATTTAGATCCATTTTTAATCAAATTCGAAAAACAAATTTTTAATATAAAATATACTTAAAAAATATGACTTTGGATTTTATATAAACATGGAGGTTGAATTATTCTTAATTTTTTTTTCAATCACTAAGTCATGTTAGGTTACACACAAATTGGGATTTATTTTAATTAGTCGTTTAGATTTCTTTACAAAGAATCAAAAAGAAAAATATCGGGGTGTTCACTTTTCTTACAGCTTTAGTAAACGAAACTAAAATTTCTAACAAGTGGTTTGAACAATGGTAGTTGGTATCGACTCAGCTGATGAATATAAAGACTACATCTTGGGTATATTTGATGTTGATATAAAGCAAATAGTTTTACTAGCACCTTTTGAACCACATCTTTTCAAGTGAAATTTGTGTAAAACACAATTGTTATTCTATGGGACTATTTATAATCAGAACTTGAGTCTAAAAGTCGTCTTCCTATTCCATAGATATCATCGCTACTAACTGGATTTGGATAAAAAAGTTTACCTTGGCCGCTGCGTCATGTGTAGCATCTGTTATATCTTTATCATTGACCGCAAGTATTTGATCTCCTCTCCGTAAACCCTATAGGTAGAAAAACAATATGAAGGGACTGTTGTTGAAATTTTATATGACCCTCCATTTAAGAGAGTCATGTCTGATTCACGTTGTAAAGAGAAACCACAATTGAAAATAATCAAATTTCAAAGAGGAAATCATGGGTTTTATGGGACTATTGCGAAATAAACTTGCCACTGTTTAAAAAGAAGGTAAACCACCCTATCGTGTAGACTATATGACATGTGCCTGCAGGAATACTAGCTCTAGTATAAATTCTACCTGACATGGGTGATACTATAAATACGCTACCCTATAAAACGCTACGTATCATACAGTTTCCATCAGTGCACAAATATATTGGACTATTATCCTTGTTTGAACTATCCTTGTTTGGTGGTAAATCTAAATTTCGATAAATTTCCTTAGATTTCCTTAGAATTGCAGCAGCAACCGAAGCTGCATGGTTATTGCTTTAGTTAAAAAACCTTTTACTTAACGTAAAGGTACCCAGGATTCAATCCTGTAAAAAGGACAGAGTTTGCTCGAAGAAGCACATCCCGATCGTTAGTGCTATGGTCGGCACCTCCCGGCTTATCATGGCTAACAACTGGCTCAATCAAAGAAACACACAGAAGACTTATAATACTTTCCTAAAATGATCATCCTAGGTTACTTGGGTCTCGAGCATAAATGGAATTTTAATAAAAGAACTGAGCCAGTTTGTTAAACTTCCTATTATTTAAATAAGATAAAATAAATTTAGGTAAAAATATTTGAATCCTAAACAATAAGGATATAACACCATCCAGTTGTTGATGAAGTGATGAATAGACTGGGCTGGAACGGGTTCACCTGTGTAAGAAAGATTTTTTTAAAAATAAAATTTTCCGGATTGTGCCTTTAAATAAGAAACTAAAGTTTTCATCAAAATAATAATTTTTTGCAAATTGTGCCTTTCATTAAAGGGGCACTGGACCCCTTGTTTAGCATGGGTCCAGTGCCCCTTGGCACTGGACCCACGCAGGGTACCATTATGAATATAATTATTGGGAAATTCCTGTAAAGGAGGAATTGATAATCAGAGTTTCACCGTTCCATGCCCTGCTAATTCTAAGAACTAGACCCACTTATCTTCCATTAACCTTCTTTTTCTCAATATCTTTTTTAATGATTCAAATGTTATTTTGGTCAATATATTTATATATTCAGGAGTACGTAAACAATATCTCTCAGTTCATTTAATACATTTAAAAAATTAATGTCTTATCTTTAATCATAATCAATAGTTCTCATCTAAAAATGGTAGCGAATTCAGCCTTGGTAGCGTTTTTATAATGTAGCGTTTTTATAGGGTAGCTTTTTTTATAGTGTAGCGTTTTTATAGGGTAGCGTTTTTATAGATACACCCTGACATGTATCTGAAGGACTACTAGCTCTAGTATAAAGACTACCGGACATGTATCTGAAGGACTACTAGCTCTAGTATAAAGAATATATGACATGTATCTGCAGGACTACCAGCTCTAGTATAAAGACTACTTTACATGTATCTGCAGGACTACCAGCTCTAATATAAAGATTACCTGACATATACCAGCAGGACTACCAGCTCTATAGTATAAAGACTACCTGACATGTATCAGCAGGACTACCAGCTCTAGTATAAGAGACTACCTGACATGTATCTGCAGGACTACCAGCTCTAGTATAAAGACTACCTGACATGTATCTGCAGGACTACCAGCTCTAGTACAAAGACTACCTGACATGTATCTGCAGGACTACAAGCTCTAGTATAAGGACTACCTGACATGTATCTGCAGGACTACCAGCTAGTATAAATGATATAAATATTCCTTCTCCATCTTCTCCTCCAACAATATTGAAGCCAAGACCAGTTTTCCCTTTCACCAGAACAACAGATCTAGCTTCTCTAAACAGAACAAAGTTGTAACAAACAAAAATTTACAAAAATTTCAAAACGAGAATTCAAATTATGTAAATATTCATGATATTACACCTGAAATTTTAATTCTTAATTTTAAGAGTACCTAAAATATCGCGTTTGCTTTTATAAACTGTAAGTAAAAATAATATGTTTATAAAGCATTATCACCCTTCTTTAAAATAAAGCAGCGTGATATAAAAAAAGAGGTGGGAGGAAGCGCTATGAATTCCTATCTACTTCTGTGCATAGTTTTCTATATAGATATTATACTGTGTATAGGTTGGAATATTAAATTTACAGTTAACAAGGGATTATGATCCATTGTTCAAAGGATTAGCCTACACTAGGGACCCAACATTCATGAAAATAATACACAAATGAAGACATACACACAAACACAAAAATATATAAATATATATATATTAAAAAAAATAAACACTTTGACATAGACATACAAAATATAATACAAACACACAAAAATACTGACATAAACACACCGTGAATCACGAATTTAAGGTCAAGAAATCGCAATAATTCAAGAAATCAAGATAAGTAAAGAAATCAAGAGAATTCAAGAAATCAAGCGAATTCAAGAAATCAATAGGATTAAAGAAATCAAGAAAATTTAAGAAATCAAGAATTCAAGAATTCAAGAAATAAAGAAAATAAAACAAAAGTGTGGATCATGTGTTAACACGAGCACCCCTGAGAGTGGAGTTGGAAACCGGAAGTAGTCAGGACTTCACCGGAAATACATAATTTGCCGAGGGCTAGGTCTGTGGAAAGTCAAATCTATGTCAGTGATAAATATTTACTCAAACGACCCCCCCCCCCCCCCCCC